AGCTTACTTATTAACTTACTTAAGTAAAAGATAAACCTTTACTTATTTAAAAGCTTTATTTATTCCTTCTTTACTTATAAGAGTATAAGGGAGAACCTTAGTATAAAGGACTCTTTAGACTTTTTATAGTTTTATTTAAAGTTTATCTACTACTTATAGCTTATTATTATAAAGTATACCTTTTCTTATATTATAACTAAAGATAACTTAAGCTCTCTTACATTTATAATAAGGGTTATAATGTTTTCTTATTTTTATAATAATGCCTTTACCTTATTAAAGAAGATCTTAAATAATAGATCTTATTACTTTAAGGTAAATAAAGAGCTATCTTCCCTTTTAAGTATTATTATTAGCTTAACTACTAAGGAGACTATCTCTTATAAGAAGGTTACTATTAGTATAAATAACCTTTACTACTTATTTAAGAAAGCTATCCTTAGCTTATTATAAGGCTTAAGAGAGAAGCTACTCTTAAGGATACTTAGTAAAGAGTATAAGTATATCTCTTTAAAGGCATTTAGTATAGTTAAAGATACCTTTAACACCTCTCCTTATAAGTGCTTTTATAACTTCTACCTTATGTCTCTTAAAAATAATGTTTTTATAAAGGATTATATCCTTAAGACCCCTTTATTAAAAAGTAAGTTCTTTAAGATAAGTAAGAAGAATAAGCTAGTACTAGACCTTATTATAATTAAAGCTTATATAAGGGACATAAAGGAGTTCTTAAAGCTATACCTCCTTATTATTTACTTTATAAGTAGCTTACCCTTAAAAGAGATAAAGCTTACTACCTTATACTTCTTTAACTCTTATAAGGATAAAAGGGAGATGTTTTTAAATAAGGCTAGCTACCTCTTTATCTTAAACATCTTTTATTATAAAGGGAAGGAGTAAAGGGAGAAAGAGACCTTTAACATAAAGTATCTTTATAAAGAGGCCTTTAGAATCTTCTTATTATATATTACACTTATCTCTCCCTTTATAAGCTTCTTTAACCTTATATTTACATCCTCTCCTTTCTTTTATAAGTAGTTATTACTATTAAGTTATTACTTCTTTTACTATTAAAGGTAAGTCCTTATATCTTAAGATCTTAACATTAAGCTAAGTATATTTATAAACCTAGTCCTTAGATAGAAGATAAGGATATAAGTATATAAGTAACTTATTATAATAGTTATAAAGGAGTTTATAAAAGAGGTACTAAATAAGGAAATACTTACCTTAAAGGGAAGGGAGGACTCCTTTAAGGATATAAAGGCTTTATAAATAAACTACTTTATTAGTATAAAGGAGTTATATTATAAGAAGAGCACCTCTACCTTCTTTAATGTTAAAGAGGGTATATAAAGAAGATACTTTAAGTTTTACCTAAGGTTCTTTACTTACTTTTATATCTTAGATCTAGATACTAACTTTTACTTATTTATAAGTACTTTAAAGGATAAGGAGATGCTAGATAAGAGCTTAAAAGGGGGCTTATAAAAGGGTATAAGGGTTATACTTATATTATGTTTTTATAAAGGTCTTATATCCTCCTTCTCCCCCTCTTTAAGCCTTAGTAAGAAGTACCTTAAGAATAAGTTTAATATTATAAGTACCTTATAGAATAACTTTATAGCTAAGAGGGTAAGGCTAGAAGACCTTAATAGCATGTTAAGCTCCTTTACCTTTACCTTTACTACCTTCCTTTCCTTGTTATAAAAGTTCTTTAGTAATCCCTTAGTATTATTTAAAGTAAGAAAGTAAGAGCTTCTAGTAAAGGCAATCCTCCTTAAAGTCCTTTATATCCTTATTATACTCTTTATAAATAGTAAGAAGTTACTAAGCTATCTCCTTACTTCCTCTTTAGTTACTTTAAATGTCTTTATTATTATCTTACCTTTAATAAAGTTAAAGTAAGATATTATAAAAAGGGTAAGGGTGTTTAATGTCTTATACTTTATTTATAAGGGGGGACAAAAGGGGTAAGGTAGTAAGGATAGTAACATTATCCTTATCTTTATAAAGAGTATAATAAGGAAAGACTTTGTCTTTTACTTATAAAGCCTTATAAAGAAGGGTAGGCTAAATAAGATTATAATAAATAAGTATTACCTACTACTATCCTCTTTAAACTATAAATTTATAATGTATAAGTTTATAAAGATCCTCCTTTTCTTTACTTAGTTTATTTTCTTTATAAGGACCTTACCTTTCTCTTATAAGGTTAAGCTTAAGGAAACCTTAAAGCTAAAGTCTTTTAGTATTATAAAGGCCCTTATAAGTAAAAGGGACATCTCTTATAACATAAAGATCTACTTCTCCTTAAGTAAAGAAGATTATATAAAGGAAGTAAAGTTTTATATTAAGTCTTATAAGCTTAAGCTAAGGGGCTTAAGTAATAAAATCTTAATCTTCTATCTTACTATCTCCTTTATAGTAAAGATAGGTAACACTTTAAGTTATTTTATTTACTACTCCTCTTTAAAGGTAAAGGAAGAGGTCCTTTAAAGCTTTTTATAAAAGGATAGCCTTAATAATAAAGTATTAATAAGTTTTAACACCTTAAAGAAAGGGCTAGACTACTTTAATATAAAGCTTATTATATATAAAAACTCTTTATACTCCTTCTTTAACTTCTTATAAAGGAGTAGTAAAGGTAAGAGAAATAATAAGAAGTTTACATTTATATTCTTTTATAATAAAGGTAAAGAGAAGGATAAAGCTAGTAACTCTTTAGATTACTTTACTCTTAGAAAGTATCTTAAAGAGGGTATATATAAGAAGAGGGTTATTACTTCTTTCTTAAATAACTTCTTTATAAATAAGTGCTTTAAAGAGGAGGAATCTTACTTATATTACCTTAGTAAGTAATAAACCTTCTCCTTTACATAAATGTTATAAAGTCTTTTAATATATATGTAAAGTAGAATAAGAAGGAGTTTAAAATAAGGATTAAAGAGCTCTTTTTCTCTTATATCTACTATTCCTTATTATAAAAGCCCTTAGGCTATATTACCTTTAAGTATCCTTTAAGTAAGTAGATTAATAAGGCTAAGTAGCTTATTACTTACTTTATTAAAGATAGGAAGAAGATGTTATTAAAGGATAATAGTTATTACTTCTCTTACTTTCTCTTTATTATAATCTATAATATACTAAAGAGGGAGTATAAGGGGGTTCTTACTTATTATAACTTTAAGTTTATTATAAGGATTATAAGCTTGTTTTAGCATAAGTAAAAGGAGTTAAGGATTAAGAAGAGGTTTATTATTACCTTAACCCTTAAGCATTATAACTCCTTCTTCCTTATTTTCTTTATTAAGGTCTTCTTAAAGAACTTAAACACTAAGGGTATCTTAAGGGTAAAGGTACTCCTAGAGCTATTAAGTAAAAGCTTTAAAGGTTAAAGGTAGATGTGGTTTATCCTAGCCTACCCCCTTTAAACTACTCTTTTTTATAAAACCTAATAGTAATTAAAGGGTAAATAAGAGACAAAGGGGTTATAATAAGAGAGAGAGAGAGTTAGATATATATATAACTATTCTAATTCCTTTATACTATTATAAGCTAGTGTATTAGACTTATATATATATATATTACTTTTAAATAAAAGGAGAAGGAGGGGTAGAAGGATTTATAGTTTAAATATAAAGTATATAACAAAATGTTATATAAGGTAGTTTTAATGTAGAAATGTAATAGTAAAGTTTGTTTATAGATAGGAGTAGAGTTAATAAAGATATTATTATATTTTATAAGGTAGTAATGTAAGATAAAAGAAAGAGGGATAAGGTTAAGTATAACATATATAGATTATATATAAAGTATATAGCTATAATGTTATATAAGGTTGTTTTATAATAGAAATATAATAACAAAATCTATTTATTAATTAAAGTATAGTTAGTAAAGTAATCATTATATTTTATAAGATAGTAGTATAAGGTAAAGAGAAAAGGGGTAAGTAAAGTATAACATTTATAGCTTAAATAGAAAACATGTAGTAATAATTGTTTATAAGGTAGTTTTAGCATTAAAATATAATAGTAAAGTCTATTTATTAATTAAAGTAAAGTTAGCTAAGCTTATAACTACCTTTATAGTAGTAATAACTCTTATTATAAAACTTACTTTATTAAAGTAGTAGATGTTTTACTCTAAGATACTATATTTTATAACTATGTTTTATATAAGAGAGAACTATACTTAACTTATCTTTAGATCTTTACATTTTACTTATTTATAATTATACTTCTAATTAAACTTTACTTTAATTTCTATATAATGCTTAATAAAGTTAGTAGTCTAGTTAATCCTAATAAGGCTCTTACTTTATTTAAAGAGTAGAAGGTTTATTATTTCTTATATACCTTATAGCTAGGGTAGAAATCTATATAAATCTAGGTTAAGGATGTACTAAACAAGAGGTAACTCTTTATATAAAGTTAATTTTTAAGAGTTAGGAGTAGAATTACATTAAGAAGCTACTTTATTTAACTATTTATATAAAGTTATATATAAGAGATTATATAACATTTTACTTACTTAAATACCTTAAATATGTCCTTCCTTAATTAATTAAATAGCTAGAAGTATTCTTCTCTCTTAATTAAAGGTTTTAGCTTAAGTTAGTATTACTATAAGTTAAATTTTATTAAGTTAACACGTTTTAGGGTTTTAGTAATCTATTTACTTATGTAATCTATTTACTTATAAATTACATTATAGGTTTATTAAATAATCCTTAAGGGAATTAAGGGTAAGTAAAGGCCTTCTTATAGCATAAGATAAGTGCTTAAGTAAATCCTAATTATAATATTAGTTATAGCCTATCTTTTAACTTTACTAGTTAGCTAACTTACTAGCCTAACTATACTTATTATAAATAATAAGAGCTTTAGGGTTTATCTCTCTTTAAGTAAAGATAAAAGGAAAGGGAGGAAAAGGAAAGGGGGAAAACAAGTCTAGAAATATTATATAATTAGATTATATTATATTTCTAGACTAAGGGCCCCTAGTAGGGGTTAAACCTATAACCTCTTAGTTTAAAACTAAGGATGTTACCCTTATACTATAAGGCCTTTTAGATTTAAAGGGGTAGGGGAAGAAGGGGGTTATAAGGTTACTTAAAAGGAGTAAGGAGAAGTAAAGAGTAAAGAGTAAAGAGTAAAGAGCTAAGAGCTAACTAAGAGTTAAGAGTTAAAAGCTAACTAAGAGTTAAGAGTTAAGAGTTAAAAGTAAAAAGTAAAGAGCTAAGAGTAAGATTAGGTAAAATATTATTATATTTTAAAGTAAAGTAGTATAGTTTAGTAATAAAGGGTTTAGTAAGGTATACCATTTATAGTTAACATATAAAGCATATAGTAATAATTGTTTATAAGGTAGTTTTAGTATATAAATATAATAGTAAAGTTAGTTTATAGATTAAAGAATAATTAGTAGAAATATAAGGATATTTAATAATAAAGGAGAGGGGGGTAAGGAGTTTTATTTTATTTTAAGGGTTTAAAGATTTATAGTTTATTTAATACATATATAATAATAATTAGGTATATAGTAGTTAAAGTATAAAAATATAATAATAAAGTTAGTAAAGATATTATTATTTTTAATAAAAATAAAGCAAGGGGTTATATAAGAAGAATTATAAGATTTATAGTTTATATAGTACATATATAGTAATAAGAATTTATAAAGTAGTTATAACATAGAAATATAATAATAAAGTTAATTTATAAATTAAACATATATAATAATAAGCATTTATAAAGTAGTTATAGTATAGAAATGTAATAGTAAAATTAGTTTATAGATTAGAATAAAGTTAGTAAAGATTTTAATATATTTTATAAAAATAAAGAGGTTAATTATAAGGTTAGAAATATAAGAAGTAAAGTATAAGTATTAAAGAAGAGTATAGTATATAAGAAAGATTTATAAAAATAATTAAAAGGTATAAAGTAAAGTAAAATAATAATGTATAATATAATAATTAATAACTTTATAGATTTTAATTTTACTAGTAATATTATAATTAAGGAAAGTATAAATAATTAAAAGGTTTTTAATAATTTTAAGTTTTTTAAAGGGGGTTATTAAAAGGATATTATAAAAAGTAATAAGAGGGAGGGTAGTATATAATATAATATAAAAGAGTTAAAGGAGGTAGGTAAGTTTTATGGAAGCTCTTACAGTTATATAGGCGAGCTGGATTCCTTGCACAAACGTCAGAAATGTTTCAGAGAGGCGGATGAGACCGAGCAAGAGACATTTCTCGGATTAGTTCAGGACACTCAAGCCACCACCAGATCGATGACTTCTCGGCGCACCGCCATTCAAGGACACGATAACTTCAAGTTAACGTCTGACATGTAGACAAGGGCTAAGAATGAAACAGCTAGGCAAGTGGGACCTTCGACAGGGCAATTTCTGCCTTCGACACTGTACCCTCTAAATCCAGTCTATATAGATGAGGACAAGAGCACAGACTATGGGTCCGTGCCTACGGACTACGAGTGGGAATAGTGATCGACATCACTATCCTTTACTTCTGTGAAGAGTTACTAAGCTTTATCTCCGTTTGGGAGAAGAATACGTAGAGCTGCTCGTCAGGTTGCTTCCTGCTTCGTGCCTTTCCCCAGTCCTCTAGGAGTGCAGAGCCACCAAGGCATCAGACATTTGAACAGCAAAGGTTATAGAGAGTATCCAGATGAGGATTCTAAGACGGAGTCTGATCTGAGGATGAGCTATATGTCTCACAAAGGCCCCCTAATTTGAATCTTGAATGGAAACGCAGGATAAACGAGCTAGTACTAGGGCTTAAAGTTAATATACCCAATACTTGCTGCAATTGCGAAAAGATCACTTAGCCATTCCAGCTACATCAGCAGAATATGAGCGGGTGTATAGTGTTGGCGGCGACATTTTAAGAAACGGAACAGATTAGCACCATTTACATTACGATATCTTTGTGTGTCTTAGGAACCAGGGCTTGATATCACTAGGCGAGGATTCAGAGGAAGATGAGGATGGATAGTTATTCTATTTACATAGCCTATATAACTAGCAATCAATCATATTCTCATTCTCATGTGAGAGTAATACTCGTAGTACTTGAGCTAAAGAAAACAGTACTCTACTTAAAGATCTCCAAGTAACACTGGTAGCTGTCACTATATTGACGGACTACTATAATGTAGAGTCTACAATAATGTAGAGACTACAATATTATAGAAACTACTATAATGTAGAGACTATTATTTAGATTTATACGCATTTGTGGACATTTGTGGACATTTAATCGAGCTGTGAGGACGTTTTACCTCAAGTAATGCAGGTTGGTATGGACCAAAGTCGAGTCTGTACTATGGTATGGACCAGAGCTGGGTCTGTACTAGCTGTGACCCATTCATAGACTGAACTTGGGATAGATCTAGATACGGCGCTCCACTTTTACTAGCGCAAGGCGTTACCCTTTTTTAGTAAAGCGCAGTGCAAGGTTTAAGTACACATAGAAACCGGCTTCTCTTCAGACATACTATTAGGAAAAACAGCTATTTTGAATATATTAGGGATTATTGGCTATTGCTGACGTCGATCTGGGGGCAGTAAGCAGCTGAATCACAACCGCCTCCATTTGTAAGTCCAGAGCCAACCAGAGCGGCGTCCGGCCTTTATCGTCCACTGTGTTGACGTTGATCCCAGGGATGGCAAGCAGCTGGCGCACAACAGCCTCCATTTGTAAGTCCAGAGCCAACCAGAGCGGCGTCCGACCGCCTTTATCGTCCACTGTGTTGACGTCGATCCCAGGGATGGCAAGCAGCTGGCGCACAACAGCCTCCATTTGTAAGTCCAGAGCCCACCAAAGCGGCGTCCGGCCTTCATTGTCCGCTGCATTGACGTCGATTTCAGGAGCGGCAAGCAGCTGGCTCACGACCTTTCCAAGTCCTAGAAATGAAGCAAGACGTAGGTTATTAAATGTACCAGCAGGAACGCCATACCAGGAATTTCGCAAAAATACCAGCATCCAGCTCATGTATCGGTTAGCCTGAACATCACAGAGTTCGAAACCCAAATATATCAAAGGATGGCCATCTGGAAGCACAGAAGTCCGGAAATGGAGAGCCCAGTTCTCTGCTGAGTACTCGAAGAATTCGTATCTGGAGACAAGCAGATCGATATGGTCTTGTTCTAGAGATGAACTGTTGAGCTCCTCTAACCGCAGGAACGACATGCAAATCGAAGCAAGAAGAGCGCTTGAGTCTTGAATTGACAGTGAATTCTTCCAAATCCCGCCATCACAACTAAGCGCCGACTGGTTACAGTCTTCTTGCGCTATTAAGAACTCTTTGGCAGTCTGATGGAGCAAAAAGACCCTCCCATTAATGATGCGTATGAATAGGCCACATATGTTTCTGATATACTTCTTAGAGAATTCTTCTGGTAGAATTTCGAGGTCTTTATATGTTTTATCATCCTCTTGGATCGCGAGTGCAGTGCTTATTTCTTTCACAGATAGTGGTCGAGTTGCGACACAAACAATCTGTAATAGTTTTTTTGCTAGTTCTTTGTTTGTGCTCTTATTGAGTATAGTTGTGTAAGTAGCGTCGAGTGATTTTGGAATTGTGCGAAAGAGCTTCTCTCGTCCCTTTTTGGTAATAGACTGGAGATCTTGGTGAATGAGATCAAAAATCAGCTTTACCCATAGGTATGTCCTGTGCTCAACCTTGGAAAATTCTTCCCGTAAAGCGCAGACTGTATTATAGTCCACGCCCCATTTCTGCTGGATTTTGGAGATTTCATAGTCAATCACAAGATTAATCTCATGAAGGATTTGATCAGTATCTTCTTCACCTGCAAGGCGGATTGCTGGTATTTTCTGGCTAAGGTCGTTCAACTTGTCCTCTATGTGCTGTAACGGACGACTAGTTACAAGAAATTTCAGGGTTATCTTGTTTGAAAGGAGTGATTGCTCATCGTAAAAAGAGCATAGTTTTTGAAGCAGAGGTTTTAATTCTGATTCTTTGCACTCGTCAAGTGCATCTAAGATGCAAACGATTTCCCCAGCTTGCAGGTCTTTAGCGGCTGCAGCTAGGACTTGCCATAATAAGTCAACATTTTTCTTGAGTTTTTCTCCATTTTGATTGAAGATCTCAACGGCATGTCCAAGAAGTTCGGGTTTCTGAGTAAAGACCTGATGGAGTAAGGCACACAAAGCGTTTGTGGCGGTTTTTTGTTCTCCATTGTCGTCCTTAAAGAAGAAATGGCAAGTGGTTCGCGATCTAGTTGGTTTCAGTTCTTCATCCGCAAGTAATTTGGACAGGACAGATTTTCCACAGCCTGGATCTGCGGAGACCCAGAGGATGCTTGAGTTGTGACTATTCCGCCAACTGGTATAATTGGGGTGCTGCAAAAACCAATGGCATGTGCCTTTTACTGGGTCTGGGTTTCTCTCCTTGAATCCCTCGTAGTGTGAGGTACGGAAGAATCGGTGACATCTAATTCTCGTCTCATACTCCGGGTGCTTCCTGGGATCTTTGAGAGCTAGGATTACATTGGACATTATTAGCTTTTTGCAATATGTGTATCTAGCGACAGAAAGGTTTACGTACATTTATTAGAGGACTCCATAACCTCTATATTATCTTTTACCCTACTTAACACCCTCTGATATCCCTCATCATTCACCCCAGTAAACTTCGTCATGTCCATGTGGTTCGCAGCAATGCTTTGGTTAGGGTATTGACTTAACGTAGCCGAGTGCTCTTCCACAATCATCCCTACCCCAAAAACAGGCTTTTCCTCAAAAAAGCAATATATTTCGATATCAACATCAGGTTTGCGGAGCAATTGCTGGAATTGCTGCTGAACGGCGGTTAACACATCTGACTTCTGCCGAAGGGGATCTAGTATGTCTGAATTCGTATTCCGCACAGTACTTGAATATTTTGCTAATATATACCCCCACTTGGCTAGGTCCGCGCCAGCATGAGGCGTGCCCATGAAAATGATACCTCGTGTAGATCGGAAGACCTTCTCAAGGGTTTTGTCACCTTCTCCACAGTGCAACAGTGCCTGTTCG